TCCAGCATATGATCAGGCTGGGGGCTGCACAAGTATTCCAAAATGAAAATTCAAACTCTACAATCTATTAAGAAGAACTGCCTTTATAATAGCAATTTATGCAGAGAGCTATGGACCTACGTGCGAGCCAGCACATCCTGCTTAAGAGACCTTTTCCTTAAACTGTATCTAAGTTATTTACTAAACAAGAGTGAACGACAAAAATGTGCTAAAGGCTGATGAATGCAGTTGTCCACAAAACACTTTAATAAGTAGGCTAAGGTAAACCTGTGTCTAGATACAAATGTATATAACTCAAATAAACATTTACTGTGACATAACCAGTAATTAAAAGTTTTATTTTGTTGTAAGAGCAAACTTCATACAAAAATCTTAACTACTAGATTCATATTACATTGCAAAGACCCAAATTATATTCAGTTATATTCTGTCATAATCTACCTGTCTCCAACAGTTCTGGAGAGAGATTTTTAACTGATGTCTATCATTTGGTCTCCTCGATTCTCACGCTGAAGAAGACTACAAATTAATTTTCGGTAGCCCAAATCGAGCTTGCCAGGCAAATATCCAAATGGGGCAGGAAACAAATTCCAGTAATTTGATCTTCCCTGAAGCAAAATAAAGCCACCCAGAGGACAGACCCTTGAAACACAGAAATTACAGAATGAAGGCTCCATTTTCCCCATCCAGCCAGGATCCATGGAAACAGCCCCCAGGGCACCTGTACTTACCACTACAGGTTCAGTACCTCTGAGGTAATTTGAGAATACACAAGTTTGTGGACACTTTGTTTTCTTTACTTGACAGCCAATTAGAGGTGATCTCTATCATGAGTAATTCCCACTTGCTGGCCCACAGTTTACTGAGTGGGTGAGCAAGGAGTGGAATTAGGGCTGGAGGGGAGGCGGGAGGGAACTGCAGGCGGTGAGCCAGCTGCAGAGGTGCCCTCAGGGGCTGCTGCTGTCCCAGAGATCCCACAGGAGCCTGAAAATCACGGTTGTACAGCTACTTCCCGTTGTTGTTGTTTTCTTTTCTTTTCTTTTTTTCTTTCTCTCTCTCTCTCTCCTTTCTTTTTGTTACAGATGTTCCTCCTTTTCCCCCAAATTGACACCCTCCTCCTCCTCCCTCCCTGCCCTGTCTCCAGCTTTGTTGTCCATGTCCATTGGTCATGCAATAAACTTAACCAAAGAAATAAAGGACCTATTCGCAGAAAACTACAGGACATTGGAAAAATAGAGGAAGATATAAAAAAGTGGAAGCACATACCTTGTTCATGGATTGAAAGAATTAACATCATTAAAATGTCCATATTACCAAAGCAATCTATAGATTCAATGCAATCCCCATCAAAATACCAACGACATACTTCACAGAACTAGAACAAATACTTCAAAAGTTCATATGGAACCAAAAAAGACCCCGAAAAGCCAAAGCAGTCTTGAAAAAGAAGGACAAAGTAATTGGGATCACAATACCAGATATCAGGTTATACTACAAAGCTACTGTAATCAAAACAGCCTGGTACTGGCACAAGAACAGGCACATAGATCAATGGAATAGAACAGAGAATCCAGAATGGACCCAAAACATTATGCTCAATTAATATTTGACAAAGGTGGCAAGAACATACAATGGAGTAAAGACAGCCTCTTTAATAAATGGTGTTGGGAAAATTGGACAGTTACATGCAAAAAAATGAAACTAGACCATCAACTTACACCATACACAAGAATAAACTCAAAATGGATAAAAGACTTAAATGTGACTCGTGAATCCATAAAAATCCTAGAAGAAAATGTAGGCAACAAAATTTCAGACATCACACGCAGCAGAATTTTCACTGATACGTCACCTAAGGCAACAGAAACAAAGAAAAATGAACACATGGGAATACATCAAACTCAAAAGCCCCTTTGTTGTTGAAATGTTGCCTCCAGATTCAGATTGAAAGTACTGAGAGTGTATCACCATTTATTTTACCACCATCTACAGTGCTATGAACATTTCAGTAACACTGGCAACAGTTAGAGCAACCAATTAATTACAAGTGGGCAAAACGCTCATGTGACAGACATTTACACTGATGTATACAAATAATATTTAAAATAGGAAAGCCTAATCATTTTCTGTGTTGTTAATTTAATAACACAGCACATGGTTTTTTATTAGCTTATTCTTTACTAGTAAAAAAGAGAGGCAGTTCCAGGTGGTAAGAGAGAGAAAAGGACTACACCCTTAACGTGCTAACAAAGCAATGTGACTTAAAAAAAAAAAAAAAAAAATGTCATTTTCTACTGAGTTAAAAGCAATAAATCATTAAAATCATAGGAATTGATCTTACAAATATATTTGGTATTGGTAAGACAGCATCTCAAATTATACACTCAAATTTGGCCATCAATTGTAATAGAGGAATTAAAAAGTTAGAATGTGCACACACCCCCCCACACACACACAAAGAGAGGGACCACGCATGGTGAGGGGTCTAAAAGTCAAGCCGTGTGTATAAACAGTTGCAGGAGAGGGAGGAATGACCAGAGTGCTTAGCGTGGAAAAGATAGAAAGCGTTGTCCTAAGAGAAGCCTTAGTCTGCGTAGCTCCAGAAAGGAGAGCTAAGATCAGAGTATTAATTATAGGGAGGTTTCTACTAACAGCTTTACAACGGGCAAATGCTCCCTTGCTGACAAGCCGTGAGGAGGCAACGTACTGGAGAATGTGCCTCTACTCAACAGGAAGTGGGCCTGGTGACCTTTTTAAACTTTGACTTTAAAATTCTTTTATTAGCTTGAACCTCAAATCTACTAGTTATTTTTAGAACTGGAACATCAATGCTGAGTCTAATGAATAAATCAATAAAAAAATAAGTGACCCAAGCACTGGGTTTTTTGGATTGTAGACATCTGTCGTCTCCACCTTTGCTGACATACCATGTGGTGGACCAAGCTTGGTTGGAATATATATATGAGGCAAGAGGAGGAAGGTATGCTACAAACTACACTTTCTTACCTTCATCTCTTGAACACAGACTATACAAAAATATTCCCAATTTCATTTCAACCTCACCATAAGATATTTAGTTCCTGAAGACATAAAGAGCAAGACCATGGGCTTCACCCCAAGGAACCTGTCTCTGTGCTTACTTTCACTGTTTTAATACATTTGCATTGCATACTTTCATGCACATTCCAAGGGACCTAACACTCCCTACGTCATCTGTTACATTTATACAACATTGCATAGTAAAAAGAGCTGCAAAGGGAACAGTAAAACGTACTTGGACACATTCCACAGAACTAGAATTCTAATTAAGTTTGAATATCAGAAAAGTAGTCATCGGAGTGACTGACTGGTGTTTGACTCCCAGATGCTAAGGTTACAGTCATTGCCCTGGCTAGTTTTGTTCAGCGGTTAGAACGTTGGTCCGCAGACCAGAGAATCCCGGGTTCAGTTCCCGTTAAGGGCACGTACCTCAGTTGCAGTTTGTCCCCGCCCTGGTTGCGGTCATGTGGGTGGCAACCACTCGATGTGTGTCTCTCACATCGATGTTTCTCTCTCTCTTCCCCCCTCTCTCCCTCCTGCTCTATCTGAAGATAAATACAAAAATGTCCTCAGGTGAGGATAAAACAATAAAATTTATAAGGTTACAGTCATGCACTGCTGGCACTGTAGGTCTTGGTACTGACTTGGCAACCCATGCAGGCCAGTACCCTCACAGATACAGCAACAACTCAACTGTATTGAGTCCTGATAATCTGCCCAGTACTGTATATACCAAGGGCCCCACCCCACGGTAGTAAATATGATTGTCATCACCCCCAAGTAAACTGGAGTGAGTTTAAGCAGTCTGAGCAAGGATGATAAACCAGGAGCCGAAGCTGAGAGCACAGCTGTCTGACTCCGAAGCCCCTGCTCTTTCTTGTCTGGTATCCTCCTCAGAACCTGCACATCAGCAATACTGAGCCCTAGCGCTGTGCTAAGTGCCCCCCCACCCCACCCCAGGGGCAGCGGGGGACGACCTCTGCCTGCAGGACGCAGTGAGCAGCCCCAAACTGCTGTGTCACTTGCAATTGCTGTCAAGCCCTGGGTGGCAGGACTATGGCGGCTCACTTTATCTGTAGCTAATACAACTATAGTAAGAGAGAAAGGGCCCCTACCCAAGCAATAAAGCGTAACACTGGGTCTGTTAAATTTCCACTCTGGCAGGCATTTCTGAAAGCAATGAATTCTGACCATCGCTGCAAGGAAAACTACTCAGTGGGGACCTCCGCTGTTTGAGACATGCGCTAGCATAAAAGCAATTCTGCAAGCGTCTATATATGTGAAAAACTTGTGAAAATCCTTTGACGAATCAGTAAATCCCAACTTGTAAAAGAATCCATTGATGCAGAAGTAACTCTAATTTACTCTTTAGCTACACACTACTTTGTATCTCCCAAAATTCAAAATTCCAGAAGCTTGAGTCACCAAATCACAGTCATAAGCCCTCATGAGAGCAGAGGAAATCTGAGAAAAGGGGAGGAACCCTTCAAAGCACATGTCCCCTCACTGCCATCCACTCCTGAGTGTCGAGTGTTGGTGGCTTTTGAGAGCTGGCACAGGAGCTCAGGCAGTGGTCAGAGTGGCAGCGTGCTGGGGGAGGAGAGAAGTCCCTGTGGCTTAGACCTGGGTCTGAGGCCTGGCACTGCCTTGGGTCAGCGCGCACACGTCTGCCTCCTGTCTCTCTGCCACAGCACGGCGCAGTCCCAGCCGGAGGGGAGGATGGGGGGACGGGCGGAGAATGTGTTACTGGAGTTTCCTCCTAGTCCCTCAGTTCCTCCACTCTACTCTGTCTCTGTTCTCATCCGCCAGAGCTGTCACTTGTCTATGGGGGAAAGCAGGGAAGGAGGAAGGAAGAGAAGGAGATGTGAATTTCAGATCTCACCAGCATACCCACGAAATCAATCCTAAGGGGAAGATAAAGTTTTTTGGGCAAGAGTTACAACAGCGGGACTTGTGCTTACCTGACTACTGACAGACTCTTTCTTGGCCGAGCTCTGAGCCTGAGCGGGGCCCTGGGCAGGTGATAACTTTGAGGGGCTCTTCTTACTCTGAGGCAGCAGTGAGGACAGGAAGCCCACGCGAGGTGACTGGGAGAGGGAAGTGTTCCTCTGGCTGCACACCATGGCTCTGGACAGGCACATACAATACAAGGTCACAGGGCTGGAGGGGGACGTGGGAGAAGCCAGAGCATAGACCTGCTGGGCTGCAGACAGCACCAGCGACCAGGACCTTAGCCAGGTTCACATGCCTGGGCTTTCGGGTGGCATCATCCTCAGTTTTATTGCTTATACCAAAGAGAGTGGCAGCCTATCTGGCACAACGTGAAGTCTGCAGCTCTCCCTTTGTTTATACCCATGTGTGTTTGAAATGATAATGTGGATATACTGGGCTAAATAAAGTATATCATTAAAATTAACTTCACCTGTTTCTTTTTACTTTTTTTTAAACACAGCTACTAAAATTTTTCAGTTACATTTCTAGGCTTGCATTTTATTTCCATCAGATGGCGCTAGCTCAGAAACCAGAGCAGTTTCAACTGGGGCAGTACTTGGCCAAGTGTAGGCTGAGAATCTGACTGACTGGGTTTGCGTACTGACTCACCACTCACTCACTCACTCAGTGACCCCTCTGTGCCTATGTCTCTTCAACTGCTACTACTGTTATTATTATCAACTGGGTCTTCTGTTTAGCTTGCTGTTTTTTCATTGTTGCTCAAATACCCTCCCCCAATCTGCCTGCCTCTTCAAACCCTCCACAGGAGCATGCTTCTCTCGTGGAATGCATCCAACCTGTGCTTGCCAATCTTTTCAGCCACGAGGCACTGCTTCCAATGCAATGCACAAAAACTCCCCAAGGCTGTAGGACAGCGGTTGTACTTCTTTATCCAGGCTGTACACACCTGGATATGCAGGCCTCTAGGAGAGCTGTGCAGACTCAGAGGGGCTCAAAGGCCAGGGCAGCTTACTCAGAAAGCTAGGAGGCACTAACAGTGAGTACAGGAGGCTCACGGGCAGTTTTGCATCTCCAGGAGCAGGGAGGCCACAGTAAGGTGCTCCCCAGATAAGAGAACTGGGGAGAGAGGGGAGAAGGGGACTAGGCCCTCCCAATCCCTAGGTGAGGCACACACTCACAGTTCCGAGTCCCCCAGGCGGTCCATGTTAGAGACGTAAGGAGGCAACTTGTGCTGGACTAAGGTCTCTTCCTCTTCTGGCTGTTGCTCCTCCTTCTTTAGTCGGTGGATTTCAGCTTGCAATGCAAAAAGCTACACAGAGATGGGGCCAAGTTAATGAATGACATCACCTCACTGGGAAAGATTTGCCATATCACATCCAACACCCAGCCTCACTGGCTCAGAAGGCCACTGGCCCTCAGCCTCAGGGTGCCCACCTCACCCTCTGTTAATTGTAGATTGGGGAAAATGGGCAACCTCAGCTGTTACTTGACTTCGGTGAGGTGAGAAACTAAAAACCGTTAGCTATATAAAACCCACTTTTTATCATTTGACTTGCTTCCCTTTTATCATTTGACTTGCTTCCTCCTGAATTCACTGAGAAAAACAGCTCTACCAACCCTGCTTCACTCTTGGGAATCTACAAAATCAGACTCTGGAACTCTCATGGAAAACTTTTTCTAAGTGAGGTTCAGCATTTTTGACCATTTGCCTGAAGAAAATTATACACATACACTCAAAACCCAAGAATCTTAAACACCAAAACCTAAAAAGTTTATAATCTTCCTTATTCTGAAAAAATCTTCCTTTTTCTAAAGAGATCTTAGTTTCATGGACATATAAATGCTCCCCAGGTAAAATACAAAAGCAAATGTGGGTCCCTAGGCCCTATCATTTTACCAAACTAGAGAAACATAGAGCTGAGCAAACAATGAAATATCTGGGTTGTCAACAATACAGATGTGGATATATATGGAAAAGGACTGGGAATTCGAAACAGACATATGAGAACAGGTCAGTTGCCAGGTGGCATGAATGCACGTATAGTCTTTTCCTTTTCAAAAGTTACTATGTTGTTCATATGATACACATGACTTAAAATATGAACCTCGCCTCTGGGTTTCAGAGACTATTACAGCCCTCGAGCCTCCAACACTGATTTTCTGGTGACTCACTTTCATCTGCGGTGCGTGCTTTCCTATGCTTATCCAGCCCTCCACTGCCTCTGTCTAATTTCAAACATGGAAAGCAGAAGTACTTCCAGAGAAGCAAGTGTGTTCAGAACCAACCTTCTGACGCAGAACTTCATTTTCTTCTTGAACCTGGTTGGTCCTCTGGCACTCCGCATCAAAGTTCAGGATCACGGGAACTGGTGCACAAGGTTAAAGAGTAAACCTGCCTGTGGTTTACAGTTTATGATTAAGAGCCCTTCCCAAACTCTTGACGCAGCAGCAGCACCCTTGAACACGAGAGGCGGGGAATGGAGCACCCACTCAGTGCTATTGGCTCTTGTCAGCTTTATGAAGTGGTCTCTCCCGTAAGGCTAGGCCTGGCCTGACTTCATTCAGACAGACTCACAGACACGTGACAGTCTGCTGGCTAGCCCACAGAGAGGACATAGATCCAAACCTGAGAGTTCTCTCCCAGTGCCAGCAATGAAGAGCCATACCCAGTGGGTTTCACAGCCAGTTTAAGCTTCGGCAACATTCAGCTAAGAGTGAGCCCAGTGGCCACTGGCTGTCAGGCATCCTGCCGGCTGCTCCACCAGCTGGGCAGAAAGACCAGCTGCTGGGCTTTCCCTGCCCAGATCGAACCTTTCCCTGCAAAGGTTTACACTGAGAAGAAAGCTTTCTGCAGTTTGTACAGCCACATGCTACCACGTGAACATCCACATTGTAGGTCAAGGTATAGTCTTTCCCAACCACCTCAAACAGCTTCAGTCAGGAGGAGGGCTAAGCAGGCAGGGCCTCAGTACTGAGGAAGTACTGTGGCTCGAATGGGCACTGCCTTGCACTAAAAGACCTGGAGTGACAGTTTCCATTTCCCTAGAGGGCTCACGTGGTTGTACCATAACCACCTCTGGCCTGAGCCCCCTGCTGGTTTCATCTGAAAGCCCTCAGGATGAAGAGCAGCAGCAGGGCCAGAAGACAGGCAAAGCAGGCAAGAGCAGAATTCACAGCAGCCACAACCCAAAAGGAAAGGGCACCCTTCCTACCACAACCAGCAGATGTTCCTCCCAGAGGCCAAAACGGCTGCCGGCTGCCATGGGTGGGCCCTTTTATCAGTCCCATTTATCACAATGCCCATTTATCAGTGACTCACCAGGCAGCCCCATTCAAACCAGACTCTTCTCCTCCTCTAGAATTCTAGCCTAGAGAGCAAAAGCAATGGATGATGGTCCCGGGCCTCGAGGTCAAAACATTTCCTGACAAAATGGTAAATATGGTAGGCTGTAAATTATTTACATTCTTTCTCAAATAACCACACATATATTCTTAAAGCTGCTCTGTTTTCTGGTAAGTTGAGGAACACTGAGGTCCCTGTGAAAGAAAGCAATCCAAACACTCACATAGGGAGGAGGTTCCAGCCCAAGAAGTATTCTCACCTGCTACCTAGTCTCAACAAAGGCAAGTGACATTCTAGTGGGGTAGAGATGGTGCTCTTGAGGGTGGCTGGATTCACTACCAATCCCTGTATCTGCTGAGAGAGGCCCTCAGCCCTATTTGAGGGCTCCTCTCAGAGACCAGCACCCCACTGCTGCTACAGTCCCCCATCCACCCACACATGTCAACTATTACTTCAGCAGCAGAGCTGACTTATTCCCTGGCCTACTGACAGAAATCATCATAATCTGTCCAGCACCCCCACATGACACACGACAATGATCCTTGGGCATTCTGTAGAAGAAAGGATTACATCAGAAGCAGCAGCCACTGATCACGTTGCCTGGATGCATCAGGCTAGGCCCACAGCCCCAGGCAGCTGAAAGGATATGCATGCAATGAAACAGGACACTCAGGAAGTTGTGCAGGGACACGATGAAGGTGTCAGCCCACTGTCGAGAAAAGTAGGTAGCAAAGGTGGGGTTGGTGTCTGGAGATGGCAGGAAGGGCAGGACAAACCAATCCTTCCACTCAGCCTGGTTCTGGAGCTCCGTGGACTGCTTTGCAAAGAACTCCTGAGCCTTGTCATTTCTGTTTGTCTGCCAAGACACAGAGGAGGTAGCAAGGAAGGGGAAGAGACAGAAGTCCAGAGGTGAGATTCTTCATCACTGTGCAACAGAAAGCCTTTGGATATCAGCCTGCTAGATAAGTGGCCAAACATGATCTACAAACTCCCTAAAATAAAGGAAATCATCCCTCGTTTCTCAAGTTCCTTGTGATTTCAAAGAAGCTGGTTTAAACTGAAGTCCTGATGATAAATGCCAACCTAAAAATTAATTCCTGGTAGATTTTTCAAACAATCTAACTAACTATTCCCCCAGGTCAGCTATAATCTTTATTACTCAAACTTTAACCCAGCTACTTATATTCTTTAAAATACCAGCCAGGCTTACATACTTAAAACAAGAGGAGAAACAGGAATGAGGAAGACAAGTCAGATGATCTACAGATGAGAAGGGGGAAAAAAAATAGGAAAACAGTTAAAAACAACTTGCACTAGGACTGTTCTACCCTTTCTCAGAGTTAGACAGAGAGGCCTCTCTAGAAGTGAAAAGAAAATCTATTTCTGGATCAAATAACTCTTTCCCCCAAGGAATCCCTGAACCAACAAGCACCTGAATTGTGTAGACTAGATAAAAGCGGAACAGGCTGGTTTTCAGCTTGTTGATGGTAGGTCTATATATATCCTCCAAGCGGCTGAACAGCCGCCGCTCCAGGTAGCTCCAATAATCCCGCAGGGCAGCCAAATCATACACCTGCATTAACTGCTGCAGCTGGTCCACAATCTTGTCCACCTGGTGAGAGAAGGCGATGAAGGACTGAAGGGAATTCTCCCCTCACTCCACATAGTTAATAGTGTTCTCCTCTTACTGTGGCTCCTGGATGTTAAATAAAAATTTAAGTTAGCGATCCATGGAATTTTAAAAACAGATTACTGTAATAGCTTTTAAGTTATTTTCTGATGTTAGATATATGGTTTGACCCTCTAGCACGTGTGGAAATGTCAGGTGTTAAAAACGCTGACTCAGGAAGCAGAAGAGACTGGCTCCAGGTCTTGGAGACCAGAGAGCGAGACAATCTCCATGGTCCTTCTCCCCGCTCCACCATTCCAGGATTTCAAGGCTCATGAAGAGGTGTACTGACTCCTTCAAGTCACCCCAAAGCCCTTGCATCTGCTCAGTGTCCACCAAAAAAGCCACCTCCTTGCGAGGAGAAGTCACACCAGAGTACACAAACCTGGAAAAGGTTTATGGCTACCAATACCAATCCAACACCCCCATTTTACAGATCGGGACACTGAGGCCCGGAGAGCTGAAATATGTTGCTTTTGCCACTAAGGAGCCACTAACTTTGGCAAGACAAGAACCCAGGTCTCCCAGCTCCACTGCAACGCTCCCGCTGCTAGCTCGCTGCCGCTCTCAATCCACCTGTCACATTAATTGAAGTCAGCGAACGAGCACGTGACGTGTAAATTCCAAGAACTTGTCAACGGAAAATCACGTCTTAGCAGGGGAAAGAGAACTCATTAAAATGTGCCAGGAGGTCTTCAACGGCTGAAGCAAAACTGACAACGAGTCACGGACATGGCCTTTTTCAACAAACAGAGCAGGTCTTGAACTCAGCTAACATTTTAGGCTGCAGACCCCTTTGCTCCCGAGGCCACTGAAAGCAGACTGCAGCGTATCTGTGCTGCCCCAATGCAACCATCTACCAAGCCTTAGCTCCGAGAGCCTCATCGCCATCCCGGCCAACGACCGCGCAGGACCTGCTGCAAGGCTGGGGCGCAGGACCGAGCCCTGAGCCGGAGTGAGGGCGCCTGGGCTCCAGCCTCGGCGATGCTCCTGACTCGCAGGGCAACTTCAGGCAAGTCACGTCCCCTCTCAGGGCCTCATTTCCTCATCTGTCAAGCGAGGGCCAGACGCGATGAAGTGGAAGGTCCCCCTGAGCGGTGACAGCGCCGCTCCCGCTTCAGAGGGCAGTGCCGGGGAAGAGCCCGCTCCAGGCTCCCTCAGGGCCGCCTCTGCCCGCGCCGCGCCCGCCGGCCTCTCACCCGGAACCCCTTCTCCTTGTCCGCCTTGATCTCGGCTTCCAGCTGCCGCAAGGTGTACGTGAAACCGCGGAAGAGCAGGTACTCGCGGACCAGCTCGTCAGTGCGCTCCACGGCCTCCGCCATCGCTGCGCGAGCGCCTTGAGGGGCAGAGGCGAGCCGGGGCAGAAGGGGCGGGGCCTCGACCGCACGGGGCGGGGCCAGACGCGGGCGCCAGTCGCGAGGCGGCCGGCCTACCAGACCGCACGCACTGCGCGCCGCACGCCTGTGGCCCCGCCCCGCCCCCGCCCACCTGCCCGGCCATCACCCTCCCGGAGGAACAACTGGAAGACGTAATGCTTTTCTCGGTTTTCTAGCAGCGCTGGCGGAGGCCTTGTCATCTGAGTTATTGAAAGTGGCGGATGCCATCCAAGTGAAATAGGGCTGGACCTTATTTGACATCCCAGATAGTCACGAGGTGGCAGTGGCCTGAGGAACTTTTTTCATGGGCATTACATCGCTGAATCCTCTGTGCCCTACCCCCATTGTGCAGATGGGGGAATCTGGAGTCCCAAGAGGGAAAGTGACTTGTATGAAGTCATACGGCCAAGTTTGTCATTAGAGAGTTTTAACTCCTCCAAAAGCCCTGCTTTGATCGATAAGACTGATCAACTACAAGGCAAGACAACCAAGATACCCTGTTAGGATTTTTAAAAGACAACTTTTAGGACAGTATATATGATACGGTCCCAGTTTCTTGTAAAAAAAAAACAAAATAAAACATAATAAGTATGTGTGTGTGTACATTTTTCAAAATAAGGAAAATAATACACTAACCGGTTATAGAGTTTTTTTCTCTAAGAGGTGAAACTATAAGGAACTAGCACTTCCCTTTTTTGTTTGTTTGTTTAAAAATTTTACAAAGTGTGTATATATATATTTGTAACCACGGAAATAGTCAATATCTTTGAGCTACTTTCCTCATCTATAAAATAGTGACAATGTCTACCTTTCAGAGTAGGAATGAAAATTTAGTAAGATCATGTAAAACACTTAGCACAGTGAAGGGTCCATCAGTAAAACTCAATAGTTGTTTCCTTCTCCTTCCCTTTAATGGTATAGCTTTCAGTATTTGTCAAAGCACAACTCAGAATCATTACTGCCTCTCTGCCCAGACCCTCCAATCCAACTATATGGAAATTTAGCTCCAAAGGAACTCTGATCTATGTTAGATAAACCCGAAAAGGTAAACACCAAGCAAGCCAAAGCAAGACAAGGTAGAGACTTGATCCACCCTCTATGCATGCTTTACTTCTCTCCACTGGTTTAAGTAGCTCCCAGACAACCTTTCTTGTCCCCCAGGGCAGGACAGGAGAGTCGCCTCTGACTACTGGGAGGACCAAACCAAATTCTACTTTGATTGGAATCTCAGATCATCAAGAGTAAACTTGGGAAACCACCTCCCCCTACAGGAATCTTGTGATTTAGATTTCCCCACGGGCACCTACAGTGTCTACAGGGAAAAAGAAATCTGAAACAACCAAAATATTCAACATTAGTGAAAAGCTTGAATAAATTATGTTATATCCATCCCATGCTATATTATGCAGTGGTTTAAAATCATGTTTTTTCAAAGACTATTTAATTACTTAGAGAAGTAGTCACACTATGTGTTAAAAAATGTAAGACTGACACTCCAGATAAAAAAAATTCTGGCAGTTTCTTATAAATTAAACACGTGATTACTATATGACTCAGTAATTGTACTCTTGGGCATTTATCCCAGAGAAATGAAAAATTATCTTCACATAAAAAGTTGTACCCAAATGTTCAAAGCAGCTTAATTTCTAATAGTCAAAAACTGGAAACCACTCAAATGTCCTTCAAGTCATTTTGGTAGAAACTGAAATAAACAGGGCCAACAGGCAATACTGTGACCCAGAGCACGGCCATCTTACCTCACCTCCTCTGGCTAAACAAACTGTGTCCATCCATGCCATGAAATACTATTCAGCAATAAAGAGAAATGATTAGTGAGATATACACATAAATCTCAAGGAAATAATGCTAAGTGGGGGGAAAAAACAATCCCAAAGGTTACATACATACCAAAAAGTATGATTCAATTTATATAAAATTTTGAAAAGACAAAATTTAGAAAAATTGGAGACCAGATTAGTGGTTGCCAGGGGTTAAGGATGGGTGGGGGCATCCAAGAGGAAGGGAGTTTGATTATAAAAGGGCAAAAGGAGGCCTCCTTGTAGTAATGGAACTGTTCAGCATCTTGACTGCCATATGATAAAATTGTAGAGCACTAAACATAAACACACACATAAATGTGTACAGGTCAAACAGGGAAATCTAAATAATATTGGTGGATTATAAATGTCAATATCCTACCCAGCTGGTGTGGCTCAGCCGTTGAGCATCGACCTATGCACCAAGAGGTCTATTCCCAGTCAGGGCACATGCCCAAGTTGCAGGCTAGATCCCTAGTAGGGGTGTGTGCAGAAGGCATCTGATTGATGTTAATGCTTCTCTCTCTCATCGATGTTTCTATCTCTCTCTCCCTCTCCCTTCCTCTCTCTAAAAAGTCAATAAAAAACATTTTAAAAAATTCCAATATCCTGATTGTGATTTTGTGCTATCATTTTGCAAGATGTTGCCATTGGGGGAAATTTGGAAAGAGTAGATGGGATCTCTTTGTATTATTTCTTTTTTTTTCTTTAATTTTTTCTTTTTCTTTATTATTGATTTTAGAAAAAGAGGAAGTGAGAGGGTGAGAGAGATAGAAACACCAATGAGAGAGAACATCGATTGGCTGAGTCCTGCATGCCCCACACTGGGGATTTGGCCCACAACCTGGGCATGTGTCCTGACCGGGAATCAAACCGGTGACCTCCTGGTGCATGGGTCACGCTCAACCACTAAGCCATACCAGCTGGACTCTTTATATTATTTCTTACGACTGCATGTGACTCTACAATTATCTCAAAATAAAACATTTAATTTTAGCCCTGACCAGTTTGTCTCAGCAGTTAGAGCATAGGCCCAGGAACCAAAGAGAAGTCTCCAGTTTGTCTCAGCAGTTAGAGCATAGGCCCAGGAATCAAAGAGAAGTCTCAGGTTCGACTGCCAGTCAGTTGTGGGTTTGATCCCGGCCTGGGTCAGGGTTGTGTGAGAGGCAACCAAGCGATGTGTCTCTCTCACATTCATGTCTCTCTCTCTCTCTCTCTCTCTCTCTCTCTCCCCATCCCCCCCACTCTATCTGGAAAAAGTCAGTGGAGAAATATCCTCAGGTGATGATTACAAAAAACGAAAGTGTGATACAGAACTGTAGATGCAATAAGATCGCTTTATACAATATTTTGATATGTACATACACACAAAATATTTACAATTATTGCCTTTAGGTAGTTGTGTTGGATTTTATGGGTGATTTCTGACTTTGTCTTTATACTTTTTAATATTTTTCCAAGTTTGTATTATGAACACATACTCATTTTTTATACATATAATGAATATCTTTAAATGTAGCATGTTCATTTGTCATATCAACCATATCTTATGCCAACTCACACAAAAATTTTATCAACTAACCCCACAACTTTTAAATAGGACTACATACTGCTAAATTAGGAATTTTTAATCCTGAGCTTATACAACTCAGTTTTTGGAACCAAATACAAGACCTCACACCTGAACTTTGATTATCAAGCTGTATCATCTTTCCGGTTCACAGCTTCTTCATCTGCAACTCAGAGTCCTTGGGTCAGAAGAAACCTGAGTTCCCTCCAGCTCTCACTGTCCACAGGCCTCATGCTGATGTAAGGCACCTGCTGGGAATCCTGGTCTGTCTGTTTAGAGGTCATGGGTCCAAACACTGAAAGTAAACCACCTTCTCTCAGACCACTGTGACCATGAGCCGTGAGGAGTAGCTCAGGTTGGAGTCAGCAAAGTTCCCGCTTGCACAGGGCAAAAAACCACCAAGAATAGAATTAGACTGCCAGCAGCAGGAAGCCATCGGTTTATGAGTCTATAAAATCATTCACTGTCACTGCTCGAACAATTCAAGTCTCCTGGGTTAATAAGTAATACTGCCTTCGCAAACACAAGTGGAGGAGAGCACCGGGGAATCCCATCGCTGTTGGCACACTTCCTAAAAAACAACTCCTTGTCCTGTGGAATCCTGCTTCCACTTCTGCAATCGCTGGCCTAGCTTCCCCACCCCTCCTCTGACTAATACACCTTGCAAAAGGTGTCTTCACTTCCATATGAATCTCACTGTTCTTCATAGTTGTCTAATATAGGGAATACTGTGCAGCGGTAGAAACAAATGAGGTCGATTTCTATGTACAAATGAAATGCATCTCCAACTCATACTACTGAGTGAAAACAGCAAGATGCAGAGTGATACTCTTATGTAAATTTCTTTCTTCCCCAAAACTCACCAAACAACACTATACATTAACAACGGTTGGAATACATATAACAGTTGTTAATATATAGTTGAATATATAACAGATGTTAATTCTATAAAGGTGAAAAGATCATGGTGAGGTCAAAATGTTTTCACTTTTAGAAGGGGAATGTGTATTATTTGAGAAATTAAAATGAATGTTATAAAGAAAATTAATCAAGGGGTTGACCAATGATTTGATTTATAAGAACTGAAGTCCCCTGACCCATGGTCACCTTGCTATGGTGTGTGTGCGGGGGGGGGGGGGGGTTTCAGAGGAGCGTTTATGTTATTGTGATGAGGTATTTCAGAGTAGAATCCATGTTGCTTTGAGGCGGTATTGCAGGACAGGATCCATGTTATTATTATGAGGGGGTTATTTCAGGGCAGGATCTATGCTCTGAGAGGGAGAGGTCAGGGTCAGAAGGTGATGGTATGTGTATAGATGTTGCCGGGGACAACTCTGATTATATCCAAAGCTGGTGAGAGGCCATCAGGAGGTCTCAAGGTCACCAGAAAGTTCATGAGTAGAGCCTACTGCCTCCCAGTTGCAGACAAAAGATCTGCATTTTCTTTTCCTTTTTTTTTTTTTTTTGTTTTGTTGTTGTTAACCCTCACCTGAGGATATTTTTCCATTGATTTTTTAGATAGAGAGGAAGGGACAGAGGAGAGAGAGAGAGACAGAAAAATATCCATGT